TCTCTCTCTCTTTCTCTCTGTCCTCCTGTCTTTCTACGTCACCAAACTGCAAACAGAAAGTCATGGAGGGGGGGCTCAGACTGGCATCCAGAGATGGAGATGATGGAGAAGGAGATGCAGTGTTACATGGCGCGGGAATTGCAGTATCATTTCTCTCATTCGCAGCTGCAGAAGCCAGCAGTGTGTGCATGGTTATAGTAGAGAGTGAACCCACCTGGAGCCATGCCTCTTTTAGCCTCACACACAGCCAGTGATTATTATATAAATTCATAAATAGCTTTAGACTACATTTGCTCCTGTAAGGTGGAAAAGACATAAATGAATGCTCTCTTTGAAAGTAGTAGGATTTCTGATTCTATTTCTGATTCCAGCCGGAGGTAATATCTTACCCTAATTTTGATTTACTTCTACATTACAGACTGTGTGTATGCCTGATCTGATTTTAACTGTTCCACAAATGCACCTCAAGGTTTATTTAGCAATTTACTCTCAATAAAATATATATATTGTCCGTCAGATTGAGTGAAAACATAGTACATGATTGTCTCGCTCACACAGTGATCAGTGTGAGCTTGTGAACCAAGACCTTTGACCGTTAGGTTGGCTGTATTAGTGAGGCATCACCGGCACGGGATCAGTGAAGATTTAACTAACAGAGCAAATAAATATTTCTGTTTGTGGAATTTGTGGTGCAAATTGAGAAGCACTTGTCCCATGTTGCACAGCATCAGTGCAATTCTAATGAAATAACAAATATAAAAGTGTTAAACGAGAAATCTCAGTGTGAGACATTGATGACTGAAAAGATCATGACTGCAGTGAAGAGGCGGATTAATTCACAAGGACGAAATTAATGCTTTATTTCAGATGTTACTGGTGACAGCATATAAGCAGATCTTTTTAACATACAGTAAATCCTCAAGTCTCAAGAGTCTTGAGTTTTGATCCATGTGTACACTTCTGAGTAAAACTTTCACAAATGTATACAAATGCATGAGCTGCACATAAAAGGCAGAGGTGGAACCAAATTATGTGATTATGCTTTTTATGATGTTTTTAGGACTCGACCATCCTAGGTGTTTTTGGTCGAAAATGATGCATTCTCTTTTGATATTTGTTGATGAGAATGCACCCAAAAACAAACAAGCTGCTTATATTACATTTTCAGTTTTGCTTTAAATAAAAAATATAGGCCTTTAAACTTTTACCATCTCATTTAGTATTTGTCATCACACATATCAGTGACACATTATAATGCTTGTTGGGGTTTTAAATTAGCTGAAAATCATCTTGGCGTGCTGATTATTAGATTTAAAGGTTTTTGTTTGAACAGATTGTGGCTTTATTGTCCCATATCAGCTCATTTGAATTTATTTAAGCTCAGTATTTTCAGTTATGTACAAAACTGATTCCATGGATGTAAAGTAGTCAAATCAAGGTGTTTTGTTCTATCATTGTGACCCATCTATAAACCACAGAAGCATTATCTACCAGCTCAAAGTACATGTGTGACATGCACAGTAATGAGGCACAGCATGCATGCCGCTCTAAAAGACAGTAAATGATTTATTTATACATTCCTTTCTCACATATTTGTTTCCAACATGTTCCCAAAGTAAGATGAAAACAGCCGTCTTCGTGCTGAGGCAAGAAGGAACTATCTAAGATTTTAAAATTGCAGTTTGTTGTGGGTGTCTCTGAAGACAATGAATCATGACATCATGCAATGTGTTTTGTGATACAAACCTTTCCCTGTCAGTGCAGGACTGTTCTCTTCCAGAGAAAAAGGAATCATTGCCAAAACAAACCAGAGTGTCTGTGCCCCGTGCAGACATGTCTGGAGAAGGAAGCTGAAGTCTTGACCTTCAGTTAATGACCACATAAATGTTTCTGTACTTGATTGTGAATGTTATATGGTGACGTTGTGAACAAAAGGCACACACAACTGTTTATTTTTCTCCCCTTTAATCCACAAATGTTGTTTTTCTGTGTCTATTTCAGTTTTGTGGGAATCAACGCCTCTGATATTAACTACTCTGCAGGCCGCTACGACCCCTCGGTGAAGCCCCCCTTCGATGCCGGATTCGAGGGTATTGGTGAGGTTGTTGGCCTTGGCCTTAGCGCCAGCTCCCGTTACACCATCGGGGACACTGTGGCCTACTTCGGCAGCGGTGCGTTTGCTGAGTATACGGTGGTGCCAGCCAAGGAAAGTGTGCCTGTCCCCGCAGTGAAGGCAGAGTTCCTCACCCTGCTGGTCAGTGGCGCCACAGCCTACATCGCCTTGAAACGTCTGGGGGACCTGGCCAAAGGTGAGACGGTCCTGGTCACGGCGGCTGCAGGAGGAACGGGACAGTTTGCCGTGCAGTTTGCCAAACAGGCCGGTTGTCACGTGATTGGGACCTGCTCATCCGATGAGAAAGCCGGCTTCCTTAAATCCATTGGCTGTGACAGGCCGATCAACTACACCACGGAAGACCTGGCAAAGACGCTGAGGAAAGAGTACCCAGAAGGCATAGATGTGGTGTATGAGTCAGTTGGAGGCAGCGTCTTAGAACTTGCAGTGAACAGTTTGGCCAACAAGGGCCGGCTGATAGTGATTGGCTTCATCTCAGGGTACCAGACCTCATCAGGAATCCCGCCCTTCAGAGGGGGAACACTACCAGTCAAGCTGCTGCAGAAGTCGGCCAGCATTCGGGGTTTCTTCCTGCCCCACTTCCTCAGTGACTACAGGGAAGCTCTGGGTAGCATGATGCAGATGTTTGCCAAAGGGAAGCTAGTGTGTGAGGTGGATGGTGGGGAGATGGCAGAGGAGGGGAGGTTTGTAGGCCTGGAGTCAGTCTTCCGGGCTGTGGACTACATGTATGCTGGGAAAAACCTGGGCAAGGTGGTGGTGGATGTGGCACCACCCTCTGTTAGTAATAGTAAGCTGTGATCTAACTGATTGTTAATGCACAAAAAAAAAAAATCATACTTGAATTCAAATGATCAAAATGTAGGACTAATAATTTAAAATACAGATTATGTTCTTTATTTTTGTAAGATGATTGATATAGCACTATAAGTAAATGGTTTTATGAATAAACATAATGAGCAACTTTATTTTCTGCTATCATGGTTCTAGAAACTACATGCAGTACAAAGGTATATTTTACTATTATTTATGTGAGGATTAAGGAGTCCCTCATTTGTAAGACTGAATTTAGGATGAAAAAATCTAATAACTATGCACTGATGATAATATTGCATAAATATTCTGATTAAAAATCAGAAACTGTAGGCTCTGTAATTTCACCCAGAAAGGATGTTTTACAGTGTTTCCTAATCTTATGTTCCCACCTTCTGGTCCACCTCTGAAATTATTTTAGACCTGCTGCCATAATGCGCTTGCTTTTAGCACTCTCACGCACTTTATCTACCATAAATGTTTTATGATAGACTTCATTGTTTTTCTAATAGGGGATTACATTGGTATGTGCTTGTCAAAAGTGAGTGCTGCTCCAGGTGTGCTTGGTATTTCATTGCCTGTTTGTGGCTGACAGAAACGGCATTCACACAATCAATCTTTCCATTCACATGCCCAGAAGCTGCACATAATAAAAAAAATTAGTCCAGCTAACCAGGAGTTGGACTAGAAAATGCCATTACTTTCCCCCCACTGCAAGTAAAAAAATCACTTATAGTGAATGTATTGTGGAATGCCCTTTGACATTTTTTTTTTCATTTCCATTTTTTGTATTTAATTTAGTTTTGGAAACAAGAAAGAAAGCAGCACAACATATAGTATGTTAAGGTGTTTAATCGCACGGCAGCTCATTTCCACGAAATCGAAAGATTAGACTTAAAAGATAAGTGTTTGTTACAACTTTAAAAGCCTCAATAGATGGAAAGTTTCCAAAATATTACGGGATTGGACATTTTAGGAAAAAAAAAAAAAGCAATAAGCAGAAATGAGACACTGTATGTTAAAGCCCTCCATGTTGTATTAATGTGCTGTATGTTGTGTAAAACAAACACCTGTTCCTACCTGGCAGGGAGGGCTATAGTGTTCATGCACTGTGAACATGTTATTTCCTCATCCAGGTGGCCACTCAAAATATAACCCAGTGTGAAATACGTTACAGGTGTGACCCCAGCATGCAAAGCTGCTACCTTCACCAGACGGTGCAGGAAATCAGAAACACACCAGGCCAAGGCCATGTTGAATCCATAGTGTAGGTAGTCAGCGTTTGAAGTTTTATATCTTTCACATACACTGTGTTTTTTATAAGAGGTAGTTATCCAAATAAAAATGAGTTGTGATGAGTATTAACCACAAACTATAAAGATTTCAAAGTATCACTTTTTAAATAATTACTTACACACAACAACAAGAAAATGATTCATTTAGAGAATTACCTCTGGCCATTAATTTTTCTCACTTTTCAATATATTTTATTACCTTTTCCCTTAGTTTCCCTCCCAATTTTTCAAGTCTGCTTATATCCACTAAACTTCTTATTAGAAAGCCGTGCAATGTTTTTGTTAATATGATATAGTGTCATTGTTGTTATTAGACAGACACAGAAACCACTCCCAGAAGTCACATCTTTTCTTAAATTAGGCTTCCCTTTCTTTCCTTTGTCTTTGTTAAAATTATCCTAACCCTTTAAAATTTTGACTCACTGAGGTAAAGGTATGGTACATCTTAAAATCATCACATCTGACCATCATCAAACACACACATATACAACCTTTAGCTTATTACGCCAGTTTAAACTGTTGACACATGAGATTTTGAATTAACTTGGTTTGAATTAAATTAGTATCTTAATTAAAGAAGAAATTAAACTAACACTGAAAATTGAGATTATCTGACTCACAATCATTAAATAATTGCAATCACCTCTGTAACACCACTGTTTGGTCAGGCGTTATGATGCGAAAGCAAGCTCTTACATGCCAGCCACACGAAAGGTGAGAGATGTGATGATGCACGTGGACGTTTAGATGAATTTAGCATGCTTGAGTACTGTGTGCATCCATGTTGCACAACGAGGAGGAGGCCAGGTTTAGCATCTCTTCAATTACCAGGAGAGGCCTCGTCTCGGCGTCCTCCAGGGCCTACCTGTACCTCCGCTGATTAGTGAGCAGTCACAGCCCCAATTAAAGAACACAGGAACCTGGAGAGACAACACTCTTTATTTAATTGGATTGTGTTGCAGTCGGAGGCTGCTAACTGGCAACGTATTGAAGCTGGAACTGTGTAGAGTAAACAAGACATTAAAGATAGAGAAGGTCTTCAGAAGCTTTGACAGACTTTTGTGTGATTGTAAAACTTCGAAAACATTTCTTAATTCGTGGAATTATGCTAAGTGTCTCTCATTTTAGTCAAGGGTTAGTACTTCTCCTCAGAAAGGGTCATTAACACACCAGTTAAATTTAGATAGTTATGTATATGGAAGTAATAAAGGGTGGACTAAGTTTACTCTTTTTAACCTGATGTAAATGTGAATGATTTAAATGCAGAGCATAGATTATAACAAATATCATATTAATAAGATTTCACAGAAAGGAAAAATGGTGAATGTGCTGGTTTTCATTTGAGAGTACAATTTTTATTTCCTTGTGAATGGTTATTTTATAGTTAATGTAATTACCAATTAAATAGTGCTCCACGAAATTTATAATTTTCTAAGATTTGATGATATTGGTGGCGAGACTATGTAGCTTTTGAAAGAAGACTCTTCCTCTCGCAAATTAAAAGTTAAACTCATTAAACAATTAAAACACACTCAAGTTGATTCAAACACATTAAGGTGTTTTGTTTCTACAGCCTGACTTGGTCTGTAATGACCAGTAGCTTATGGTCGCTAATGTTAGCAAACTAATGGGAGGTATTGCTGTATATCTGACATTGCTTTGTCAGTATAGTTGTGCTACTGTTTCACTGTGTTAGTTAGGATGTAATTGTCATTTGTGGCCATAATGGTTTCTACTCAGCAAAGGTTAAATACTATCGCTTTAAATTGAAAATGTCTTTTGGATTTTGTAAATTTGTAAAAAACAACAAAAAAACAACAACACACAACTAGAAATCAAACTTTTTGAAATCTCAACTTTTTGTCGCATTTTAATTTTTAATTCAAGACCACAGTCAAGATGTTTTTTTCATTGTTGCACTTTAACATTCAAGATAGTGAAATTCTCAAAAGGTCTCTTTCTCTGTTTTTTTTCCCCCCCACTAAACCCTCTTTTTCCATAGTTTCCCATCGTTGTAACATGTGGCACATAACAAAGACATCACCCTCATAGTGTAGAATGGTAGTCTACCTCCAGGCGCCTAAGGGACACTGGCTGGCTGCTTGGTGCTGCCAGGATCCAGACAGTCCAGTTTCTTTCTCTGCAAGTCAGTCAGACCCCCTCAACTCCCCAACTCCCCGAGCCCCCGTCACTCCTACCTCCGCCTAATTACCAAACCTAAAACCCCACTCGACTAATTAGCCACAGCAGACCCAGGAACTGTGAGTAAAGGTAAAGAGATGGCTTCATCCAGGAGTGTGTGCGTGTGTTAAAGAGAGGGAGAGTGAGAGAAAGAGACAAGAAGAAAGGGAAATGGAATATTCCAGCCTCCTTTAGCGAGCACATCTCTACAGCCAATTAAAGTCATTTATTAAACTCTTTGCGAAACCTGAGTTGTGCATGACAGAATGATAGGGGAATGTGTTTGTTTGTGGGTGCGCATGTGTTTCTGGATATTTAGATGTGCGTAGGGGCTGCAGGCTCACACACACAAACACCCATCCTCACACGTCCACATGTGTCTCAGTATGGCTGGCAATCTGTCGGCTTTTCTGTCTATCAGTGGCGCGAGAGCTCAGTGGGACATAAATTACAATATGCAGCAGAACCACTTGTGTAAGTCTCAATGAAGGGGAGGAATAACTTTCTTAATCAAGTTCCCCTGATTAATTGTAATAAAGGTGTCATCCGTAAATGTGTCCTCCTGATTGAGTAATTCGGGGCCGGAGACAGTAAGCACATCCCTGGTGATTGGGGGGTTGGACAGAGTGGGGGGAGGAAGGTGTGTGGAGGACATACTGAGACACAAATAGCTCCTGGGCACACTGGCAGCCTTCGCACAACTGACAGTTATGAAATACAATTATCAGTGTGATCTGCTTAAGAATTCATCAGCGGCTTCACCGGCCAGTAAAGACGTTCGACGAGAGTCGGAAAGAGACAGGGAGGGAGGCAGGGAGGGAGGTGACACAAGAGGAGAGAAGGCCTCACTGATTAAATGAGATTTTTATTTTGTCCAGCAGATTGTTCACATTATGTTACACTATTGTGAGAGGATTATCTTTTCTGTTGTTTTCTTCTGTAAGAATCACTGGTGACAAACCCATAGAGTTTTTAAAAGGTTGATCTTTATACTTTAGTGACTCAGAAGGCATTGATTTGGTGATCTTCATACCGAAAGATGACTTGAGGTGTAGGTTAAAAGCCGGCTAAATTTGGTTATAAACAAAGGTCTAGGTCAGCTGCTCACAACCTTTTTGGTTTGTGGTTCTCAAAAATGAAGCAAAGTCTTCTTGTGACCCCTTGTCACAGGCTGCACATGTGTGAGCAGTTCAACCAAACACTGATGTGCCCTTCGGAGACCATTTCATTTGAATAATCATTACTGGCTTGAGTTATCTGAGTTATTATTTTACAATAAAGATCAAAGATAAGAGAAAAGTGAGAATAAATTAAAATCATTTGACTGTAAACATACAAGCATCTGCATCTTAGGAAGACTAAGATGTGGTTGGAAAAAAAAACAAAGGACCTTGAGTATTTTTTTTGCTTTTGTCAAAAAAATATTTTTTTGGCAGCACAGGAGGGCATCCTGATAGCTTACCTGGCAGCGCTGGTGCCCCATGTACCAAGGCTGTGTCCTTGCTGCAGCGGTCATGGGTTCAAATCCAACCTGCAGCCCTTTGCTGTGGTCCCTCTCTCTACCCCATTCCTGTCTATCTTCAGCTGTCCTATCCAATAAAGGCAAAAAGCCCCAAAAAATATGTTTAAAATAATATACATACCTTTTTAACCTGAGGCGTTGTGAGACCCTTCGGGGGACCTTGAGTCCAGGGTTTGGAACCACTGGTATTACAGTTGTTCAAACAGTCATTTGTATCAGAATATTTCAACTTGAAAAAGAAACAGTAAGAAATAGTAAGTTATCTGTGTTTAAAACAATGGTTGTATGTAAACTACACATCTGTGACGTATTAACCAAAATTCAGCCTGGTTTTAACCTACACATCTTTTGTCCCTCAAATCACTGGATCAGTATTTACTGCAGTAGGAAACATCTAGGCATGTATATCAAACCATTGTAAGCCAGCCAGTATTTGACAGATGATAATTTGTGGGCTAGTTCAAGAGCAACCCGAATAAGCACACAATTTTAAAACAGGATATAACTGCATGATAAAAAAAAATAAATTACATTAGAACAGCTTCACTATAAACACTCCATGATAAAAACTTTATTGTAGCTCACTGCACAATTGAATAAAACATCAAAACAAGCACTAACATTTCTATTTGACAGATAAAATCACACTCAACAACATTCATCATCTCATTCTACCTACATTAACCCTTTAGGGCACCTTCTGTGGCCTCTGGAGGGAGAGCGAGGGTCCCTCACTGTGTCTGTTAAGATGTAGATATATATTCAGGTGAAAGGCAAGGGCACTATTCACCACCTCAGGATTAATGACAACATCATCGCCATCGCCATGCTGACCAGCCTCATATTTCCATTGGTTGGATAAAGAGGAGAGTGAAGACGGTGGTGGGAGGGGTATGAGCATCCTGTCGGCAGGATGACGGACAGGTCCTCAGTCCAGCTCCCCCAGGTCCCCCCGTCCTCATTCTTTACTGGCCTGAGCTGGCTAGTGAGGCAGCGTCTCTGCGGCCAAGGACACAGGGGTGTCAGCAATGCGTCTGGGTAACATCGTTCATCAGACCGCATCGGTAATGGGTAGCTCTCTGTGACAGTGGTCATCAGGACACAAAAGCAAAAGGGCCCATAAACATCACATGACAGATGGCTGGGAGGACAGCTTCGGACAGGGAGGGAGGAATGGAGAGCGAGAGATAAAGTGAGATAGAGAGAGAAGGAGAAGGACAGAGGTGGAAGAGAGATCTCAGGCTGGATTGTTAAGTCTTATGAAAAGTCTAAAGCGCTGGATGGTTTATGAATGCCCATGTTCAATGTCAACTGTGAAGGGAAAAACTGGAAATCACAGGGGAAATAGTTTGCAACTGATGTCCAACAAAAATGAGTGTAGTGAGTG